GCGTCAAAATAAGACGCAGAGGGAACCTTTGGAAAAGCGTCAATATGTGACGACTTGGGAGTGAGAATGTGTAGTCCTGATACCACACATTGTGTAGCATTCTTAATGCTCTATTTYGTAGTGWACATRTTTTTTGTAAAGAACTTTTATATGTGTTACCCCAGACTTCAACACAATACTCTAAATATGGAAGAAAAAAAAGAAGAGAAGAGAGAAATTAATAGTGGATGTTACTGTAATATCAGCCCAGTTTTTTTAAATATCGGACCGATACTGATGTGTTAAAAAATGACAAACATCAGCTGAAACAGATGTTAATGTAAATACATCGTGCATCCCTAATTTCTACTTTTCAAACTGAAACAATAAATGCCATTTGATGTTGGCAAATTTGTCCTGAAGACRCTRCGACCGCGTCAGACAAACCMCTAATAAGCAAATGTAGGGAAAGTRTCCCAGCTTCTACCTGGACAAGGTGAAACACTTCAAAGAGATGCCTCCCCTGCGTTCAAAAACTGTTCTGTCATCGTCCACAACTTCTTTGACTGTCTTTACCAGATTTATTTGACGATCTTTTCAAGTTTTTCTGGAACATAGATGCTGTATTTTGTAACAGCCTCRGCCAGCTGCTCCTTTGCGAAACAGTCGAAGTGAAATGAGAGCGTTGTTGTTCTGTCTTCACACCGCTGCCAGAAAAGGTTCTGCCTGGACCCTGTGGACAAAACTGGTTCTCGGAGCTCATGCAAGAAAAACGTGACAGTCTTTGTCACACAGTCAGTGATGGCAGACTTCTCTCGCAACATAAGAATCCAGCTTAAAATGTTAATTGTTGAAACCCTTTCAACAGAGCTCCACTTCACAATGGTTACTCATTTTGTTTTTCTCTGGTTTCCATCAGGCTGTGAAGGCAAYGATGAAGAGAGTGTGCAGATGCCATGGCATGTCCGAAAGCTGCAGTGTCCAAACCTGCTGGACACAGCTKTCCAGTTTTAGAGAAATCGGCGACTTCTTAAAAATCAAGTACAACCACGCCCAAAAACTAGACGTCGACGGAAAGCGCCAGAGGGCGGGAAACAGCGCAGATAGCCGAGGAACCATCACGAATACGTTCAGCAGCATCGCCCAGACCGAGCTCATCTACTTGGAGGACTCTCCGGACTACTGCAAGAGGAACAGCAGCCTGGGGCTCCACGGCACGGAGGGCCGGGAGTGTCTGCATCCCAACGCAGATGGCCTGAGTCACTGGGAAAGAAGGAGCTGCCGCAGGCTGTGCAACGACTGTGGCCTGAGAGTGGAGGAGAAACGCACGGAGGTGGTGAGCAGCTGCAACTGCAAGTTCCACTGGTGCTGCAAGGTGGACTGTGAGGACTGCTCACAGGTCAGGGTCAAACACGCRTGTGCCAGGAGGGAGGGCAGGGACGGGCCTGTTCCCAGACGCAGACAACGTGGGCCGAAATAAACACGTTTTGTCACCTGAGGGGCCACAATGACTTRATGAACGCAAGTCTAGTGCCTCAGATTGAACTGGGAAATAAAGAATCTTCCAGGCAACAATTTGGAAGACGGTTTTTGCCCACTGTCCCTTTTTATTTTTTRTTAGAACTAATTGTAACATAGTTCGCTTGTTGAAGCTCTCTGGGCACAGTCATAATCTTAAAATTAGAGTATTTTTTTTCTGTAAACTGTCACGTTTGGGGGAAAAGTAGCAGTTCACTTCACCTTTTAGCAACAAAATAAAAGTTGCACAGGCTCATGGCCAGAGTTGTAAAGTAACTAAGGACAAATACTTCTTTATTGTACTGAAAGGGATCCATGATTAGTTGTAACATTAGAC